CAAAAAATAAGAAATAGAGTCAAACTATCAGCATACCGCATTATAAATTGCTCTGAGTTTAGGTAGCTGTTTTGGACAAATGACTGACAGCGAAACAGAGCACTGGATGGAAAAGTAAGGTATCAGTACTGATGATGTTCAACCTCATGAGAAAAAAGGAACATCCACCATTAAACTAAACAAAAAAACTACCTGTGGAAATGATTTAGCAACAGCCTCAGCATCATAAAGACGGTTTTCTGTTTGTGCATCAATACTTTCATTCTGCTCTAAATTTTGCATTTGTGGTCGATACACTGGTGTGGGCAAGGGGTGAGGGTTACTAGCAGCAACAAGTATGCAATGCTTCTGACAATCCACATTTTGTTGATTTTGGTTTCCATTTTGAACAGTAGGGAACATCTGAGTTACACAGCAGAAGAATAGTAAATGTTAAGCTTAAAATGTAACCTTAAGAACTGCAGTCAATAATGATCCAAAAGGCTTATGATCTTTTAACTTAAAATCTGTGGAAAATCGGAAATAGATCCACAGCAGCTGTAAGTTATAACTTGTAATTTAATCTGACTCACTTCTCCACATTCTTTCCATAAACCAAATTGTAGACTCTTTGTGGTCAAGAACCAATCCTTAGCAGTGAGACATGTTTTCATTCCGTCCCCTAGAACTAATAGTCACCAGTATAAATGGAAGCCATTGTGATATAAATTTTGACTCACTTTTTTTGATAAAAAAAACAAAAACAATTATTTGTATGGATAAGCAAAATACTTGGACTGACTGAAACAACATACCATTAGAGCTTCAGAAAGCCCTTCCGCAATTGCAGCATCACTAAAACCACCCCCAGAAAAGGGTATAGCTGAAAGCCACTGTAAAAATAGATCTAAATCCCTTGTCCAGCCACTCCGTTGTACCAGGCAACCTGCATAAAAGGTTGTACAAGTATAAAAAGATATTGAGCTAAAGCCAGTTACAGTAAAGACATGGAAATTCCTGCATATTATCTAGATGAAATGGAAGCTTCATAACATCGCAGGCATGTTACTCTTATATAAGTGATAATTGTACCAGAAAAACTTCCATTTTCCAGCCATACGTTTTCCTTCTAAGGGGAACTGGAAAATGTACTTTTTGAAGTAGTGTAGTTCATTGTGTTTCAACATAAAGTTCACAAAAGTAGACAAGGCACTCAATTCAAACAAGTTGATGTCTTCCCGGCGGTATTATGCACAAAGAACAGCTACATTGGTATGATTTTATTCTTTAACCTAAATCCACTGAGAACCCACCACTGCAAAGGGATCATTCCATAAAGTATGATGTGAAAATCACCAAGCAATAATTTGTAAACCTTGAACAATATTTCCAGCTTAACTTTGCAAAGAATTATTCAACTTAGTGTCAGATTGAATCCTGTTAGTACCAGGATGTAGGACTGCTAGCCAGCATCTTAATTCCTCAAGAATTTGTTGTCGACCCCAGATCAAAGTAATAAAGTAACAAGAGAGGTCATATATTGGATAACAAGGATTAAGACGAATGAAAACTACATACCGCAATACGATCCATGAGTATAGAAGGTGACCAGGGAGAGCTCAACAGTAGAAGTAGAGGGCTTCTGTATCTCAAAAGCAAAATATCTCGTAAATAAGAAAAAGGCTAGCAAGCTAGAACTAAATCTTACAGAGGGAATTCATAATGCTAGCTGAAAATGAAATGTTAGATTATAGATGTCTATGGTTTGATAAATAATTAATAAATAAGGCATGATGACCAGAAAGTGAGAAAAGTTAATACAACATTACAAAAAATTGAATCCTGCGAAGGAAACTGGACAACACTAAAATGCATTATCTGGAATGCCAAACATTATATGGGCACATGTTCAGAAAATAGCTTTTGCATGAACAATTAGCAGTTCTTGACAAATGCCTTTCTGACAGAATCATAAACATAGGCAATAATAAATTTATTGAAAAAAGGCGCATACCTGCCCACTCAACTCGTTTCCACAGAAACACCTGCATGAAAAAAAATAAATCAGAACTGGCATATAGATATAGTAATGCATAAAATGCCATTCAAGTTAATGATCCAACATGTAACGAGAAAAGGCAATGACATATTGAAAGCTCATACATGGCTCTATGCACAGGAATATAATTAATGAACCTAGTTAATCTTCCTAATATGAACTGTAATTGAAGCTGTTATAGCTGGGCACTTGT